TTGTGGGGTTGCTCCACAGTATTAATATATTAGAAGCCGTTATCCTATTCTCCTTAGCTGCCACATCATTAATATGCATAACAACTGTAATGCAAGCGTAAGCGTCCTGGTCCGATTTGGAACGGATCGATCTTTGTCCTCGCCGGTAGAACGCCGGGAACCTGCAAGTAACTCTCACACCGGGGGTTGTGTCCGGTGAAGAGCCTCCGATGCTTAAGTCAGTATGTGTATGAGTATACTGAAAATGAGGAATGAATAGAATGTCTTAAGGGAGAAAGGCTTACCCCATTTATATAGGGGTGAGATACTTGCCCTAATAGCTGCCCGGATAAGGTGAGCTGGCTGCCCAAGCTGCCCGTCCGTACTCTGACACACCGCGCGCATGTCAGAGGTTGCGCGGAGGCGTTGGGGAGCTGTCAGAGGTGGTTATCGATATCCACCAATGCATTCTCGACGCGTGTCCACCTGCACATGGGGTAAATATTCTCCTGAGATTCGGTTAGAGGTTCCTACACGCGCCTGTGACTAGGCCGACTGTTGTGTCCCCGAAGCAATCGGCCTGATGAGGTCGAATAGGCTGCTCGATCGATTATCTGGTCGAGCGATGGATTGGTCAACTATCTGATTGATCGATTCTCCTGCCTCTTGGCTTGACTTCTTCCTGGTTTGATCTTCTCGACCGGCTAAATAGACCGGTTTAGCCTTGTGTATATAATATCCTATATCATCTAGTCCTCCCCACTCTGGTCGAGTCTGAATGACTCGATCTAAGAGTGAATTTGTATCTATCGATCTTCTGGATGGCTCGTCGTCAAATATCGACCAACTGGTAAGTTTTCTGCTCATGTTTTCAAATGATTTCCCATTAATTGCTAGAAATAAAGTCGTCTGTTTCAAGTCCTTTCTGTCTTGCCTGCTTTTCTGCCACGCGTCGCGTCTGCCGCATGTGTCAAGCGCTTTAATGATGACAGCTTCGTATAACGCACCCGCCTTGAGTGCCGTGCAAATTAATGCTTCCCACCATACGATCTGACTTTAATCTAACGGCCTTCATCTTTTCACCCCTTCAACTCTCCAAAGTATAAATTCAACACTTAGCAGATTTTCAGACTTTTCTCCACCTTCGCAACTTTCAAATTCCTCTGTACCCAAAATTCTCTCTGCAAAAAACCCTCACTTTCTCGGCAATTTCTCCTGCATCCTTTCGAACTTCCATTACTTGTTGATCCACGGTTATGAGTAAGTCTCTCCGCCCTTGAATTTGTATTTTCTGTAGTTCTATTTTGTGTATTCTTGGATTTTTGGTATCGAGGATCGGGTATCCTCGATTTGTTTGCTGAATCATTTTGAATTGGCGTGTCTTGTGTTGAATTTGTGCTCTGAATACTTTTATCTGTCTATTGGGTGTTGTGAATTTTGCTTTTCCTCTGAACATTTTCGAAATTTCCGTCCTCGCGCCTCTCCAATTCCTCTTCTGGTTTTGGGATTGTTCCTTCCGAAAACCCTAGTCTTCCTTCTCCCTCTTTTCTTCTTTGCAACGGGTTCTTTTTTATATTGTTCTCTTTGTTTTTATTTTTTAAGACTCTGAGACTGTTGGTGTTATATACTTAAGCTTTGCTTTAGTGGATATTACACTTGTTATTCTT